TCTTTCCCTTTTTTAATTTTTGAATTTCTTCTTTTATGAATAATATGCCCTTTGCCTTGGTGATCTGGGGAAAGTTCCCCCACGATGGAAATCAAGAGGCTGTCTTTGCAGCTCTGACTCTGCCACTTGACAGCTGTTTCATCCAAACACCTCAGTGCCTCAGTTACCTCATTGACATACTGGGAGCAGTCATGCCTGCTTTCTGGAAATCTGGAAATGTTGCTTATAATGTCCTCAGAAACATAAACACTACATAGTATGGCTCTTCCTGGCTGTGTGACCTTGGGCAGGTTCTGTAACCTCTCTGTGCCTCAGTTTTCTCAAATGTAAAATGGGGATAATAGTAGAACCTATATCATGGAGCTGATCTGAAGATTAAATATTACCAATTATCTCTGTTGGATCTTTAAGATCTATTATTTGGGCAACAAATAGCACTTGACCAGATGGGTTGATGATAGAATCTTAGCATGTCAGTGCTGCAAGACCCTTACAGAAATCACTGCCCTCACTTAGACGTGGCAGACTGGGGCCAAGAGCCAAGAAGGAATTCACCCAAGGTCACCCAGCACATAAGTGGCTGAGGCAGGACTAGAATAAAGTTCTCCTAATGTTGCACCACAAATATTTTGTCCTTGACCTGTTGCATGCCTTAAATATCTACCAAGAGAGTGACTTCTCATGGTTTTTGGAAGTATCCCATGGACTGGAACACCTGGTTTACCTGGTTGAGGAACGTGGTCACCCTGCACTCACTATGCAGAGCCCAGCAGAGAGTCAGCCGCGACCAGGACATGCAAGAAACGATCCATTCCCAGGCATAAAAGCAGCATCCTCTTCTTGACACAAGGCATCCTGAAGGCTCCTGGAAGGGGAAGTTGCCAGGCCTTCTCACTATTCACTCTCCCGGGAGACCTTGGTGAGCCCCAGGTCCCTCCATCGTGATCCCCCAGGTAGCCTCCTACGCATTCCAGTGTCTGGAATCTGGTAAGAACAACTCTATTTACAGGCTTAATTCTCCCGGTCCAAGACCTGGCCTGACCACAGGAGACATCTCCTTGGTCAGCTCTGATTAAATATCAGTTCTTCTCTCTCCTTGCCCCTTCCAGGTGCTCCCAAGACCCAGCGGCGGGGCAGAGGCTCTCAGAGCTCTTTACCGACAGAAAGGAGAACATTAATCTCAAGTTTTCTGAAGACGGTCTTTACCTAAATATTTACACTCCTGCTGACCTGAGGAAGAGAAGCAGGCTGCCAGTAAGCAGTGGGAACAAATGGTCAAGGCTGGTGTAGACTGGAGGGGGATGAAGGCAGTGTTGGGTGGGGTGTCTTGGACCAAGGCTGTTCCAGGGGCCCCAGGCTGTTCCCCAGCGGCCCCAGGGCTTTCTTTACCACCACAGCCAAACCTGACATCAAGGAACACAGGTTTTCCACACCTCAGTTTCCCATAGTGACAGACATAAGGCCTCTGGGGGAGTTTGCTGTACATCTGTAATGAACATTTTAATTTTTCTAAGGTCTCTCATGCTAATAGATGGACAAGAAGGATTACTCTTAATTGTTAGATTAGGAATCTGATACCCAGGGTGGCTAAGACATAATTTCCAATAAAGTCAGAGCTGGAAGGAATCTTGGAGATAAGCCAACAACCCAACCCTTCTGTTACAGGTAGAGAAACTGAAGCCCAGTGAGGGGAAGGCGAGGTCGCAGAGTAGGGTTGGCAGGACTAGAGCACGGGTCTTCTGATCTTCAAGTCACGCTCTTTGACACACACACACTAGCAAGTGGAGCCTGTGTGTGGCCTTTCTTCAGCACACAGAGACCTTCTCTGACAAACTTTCAGTGTCTCAGTGTCACAGGTGGAGGGTGCAGAGCCTGGAGCAACAGAGAAGCACTTTCCTTTGCCTTTGCCAACTATCAAGATTTTATTGTAGATAATTTTACTTCCTAATTGTCTTTGTCACAAGCTGATGACCCAGTGACTCAGCATTTCCAGAATAAATGGAAGCCCAGAGATGGGGCAGCCTTCCAGACTCAGGCTGGAAGGTGGGGCTGGTCTGCTGGGAAAGGAGGGGTCAGTGGGGTAGAGACAGGGATCAGAGATGTAGGAGGAGCGGAGGCTCCAGGAACCTGAAACTGGAGAACCTCTACTATGGACACAGGCTCTGGAACCGCAGGGTCTGGGTGTAAATCCTGGTTCCGCCTTTTACTAGCTGAGAGACCTGGCTCTGTTTCCTCAAATCAGGGATAATCACACACAAATGTTCAATGATGAATATCAAGATTTATGTCAGTGTCTGACACAGCACACGAGGCAAGTCTTGCTGATGCATTAGTTAGAGTTGAAGGGAAGAAATTCCTCCTGCCCCAACAGCCAGCCTACTGCACCGTGGCCATTGGCTGCCGTGTGCTGGGCAGCTCAACGTGTGGACTCTGGAGCCAGACTGCCTGGGTTCAAGTCCTGCCTCCACCGCCTATGAGCTGCGTGACCTCAGGGTGGTTAAGTGCCTCAGTTTTCCTGTCTGTGAAATGGGACAATAGTAGTCCCTATCTCGTGGATGGTTTATTTTTAAATGCTTAGAGCAGTACTTGACACATAGTTCATGTATGAGTTCTTTGATTGTTTTATTAACAAAATCATTATACTATTATTTTAGCCATTCTCACTTTCTTGCTATGTGAACTCGTTAAATTCAGGGCCATGCATTATGAATTGTCATGTCCACTCTCATCCTTAATTCTTACCACAGTCCCTGGCACCTAGTAGGTTTTCAAATCATATTCATCAGATGATTGAAGACTTCTGAGAGGAGGTGGCTTTTAGGCTGGGCTTTGGAGGATGGGTGAGATTTGGGGAGCAGAGGAGGCAGCGGAAAGGCCTATTAAGAAGAGGTACCACCCAGGGCGTGTGCTTCTTGACATGGTCATCATTCACGTGAGAAGTTTATTTCACCACACAAAAGGTAACTAAGGTGAAGCTGAAATAAGCTTCTAACCAAGGGCTGTCGCATGCGGAGTGTGCTGAGCTGCGTGAGGGGTCCGGGAGTGAGGACTGCGGGAGTGTTGGGGAGAAGATGGCGCTCTTAGCCTTGGCTGTTCCCATGATGATGTTCTCAGCATGAAGAGCACTGGCAGGAGGTGGCACTGACGCAGGGGAGACAGGCAGGGGCAGCCAGGGTGCACTGAGTGGGGTGGTGGCCTGGGCCACAGCTGGGAGAATGGGTAGATGACCAAACCAGACAGCCTCTTGATGTCTTTCCCAGCTCTGCTTCCTATGCCCTGTATGATCGCTTCCTCCCCATCCAGGTGATGGTGTGGATCCACGGAGGAGGTCTGATGTTGGGCGGGGCATCAACCTATGATGGGCTGGCCCTCTCTGCCCATGAAAACGTGGTGGTGGTGACCGTTCAGTACCGCCTGGGCATCTGGGGATTCTTCAGGTAAGACACTGGACTCTCCTCACGGCACATTGACCCTCAGTGTGGGAGTGCTAGGACCCCACTCTGGTCATGCAAGCGCTCAAAGGGATCTTTGCTAGGTTCCCTACTAAGACATGCAAGTCCCCTCATAATTGGGCTCTACCTACCTTCTCCTTCCCCAGCCACCCTGGTCCACTTACTTGCATGTAAAATGCCTGATCTGCCAGACAGACTCCTATTATTCCTGCAAAGCCCAACCCACATGTTACCTCGTCTGAAATGCTCATCTCTTTTTCACCTGTGCTGCCCAGCATGTTGCATACCTGTAAGGTGACGGTTAACATGCAGCGCAGCAGTTAGAGGCTTATACATCTTACCTCATGGGGAAGTAAGGAAGGAGCAGACTCACGTGGGAGCTCCGTAAAGTCTTGTAGGTGGAGGAACGGGTGGCTGGAACTTGGAGGCTGTAACGAGCACCTGGCTCCAGTGGACACGTCTACGGGGAGGAGCGTAGGGCCCACTCACCCCATTTCCTTCGTGGCGTTTGGCACATGCGTGAGCGAAGGCTCGAGTCTCCTCCATGGAGCGTCCGTGGGGACGGAACCGGACATCCTGCAGGCACAGTTACTGAATGCACCAGCCCCAGGACCTCCTACCCTCAGATGGCTGGTGGGTGGGCTTGGGGAGGGGTGGTCATCTCACTGGAAAGATCTATGGGCTGGAGGAGGGCTGTCCCAGGCGAGTCATGTCCCAGGATGTGTCGCCTTCACTGAGACTCCTCATGTCCTTCCCCCACGGCCCACGGCTGCTCCCAGTTACAGTATATCTGCGTACCAAGAAACGATCCATTCCCAGGCATAAAAGCAGCATCCTCTTCTTGACACAAGGCATCCTGAAGGCTCCTGGAAGGGGAAGTTGCCAGGCCTTCTCACTATTCACTCTCCCGGGAGACCTTGGTGAGCCCCAGGTCCCTCCATCGTGATCCCCCAGGTAGCCTCCTACGCATTCCAGTGTCTGGAATCTGGTAAGAACAACTCTATTTACAGGCTTAATTCTCCCGGTCCAAGACCTGGCCTGACCACAGGAGACATCTCCTTGGTCAGCTCTGATTAAATATCAGTTCTTCTCTCTCCTTGCCCCTTCCAGGTGCTCCCAAGACCCAGCGGCGGGGCAGAGGCTCTCAGAGCTCTTTACCGACAGAAAGGAGAACATTAATCTCAAGTTTTCTGAAGACGGTCTTTACCTAAATATTTACACTCCTGCTGACCTGAGGAAGAGAAGCAGGCTGCCAGTAAGCAGTGGGAACAAATGGTCAAGGCTGGTGTAGACTGGAGGGGGATGAAGGCAGTGTTGGGTGGGGTGTCTTGGACCAAGGCTGTTCCAGGGGCCCCAGGCTGTTCCCCAGCGGCCCCAGGGCTTTCTTTACCACCACAGCCAAACCTGACATCAAGGAACACAGGTTTTCCACACCTCAGTTTCCCATAGTGACAGACATAAGGCCTCTGGGGGAGTTTGCTGTACATCTGTAATGAACATTTTAATTTTTCTAAGGTCTCTCATGCTAATAGATGGACAAGAAGGATTACTCTTAATTGTTAGATTAGGAATCTGATACCCAGGGTGGCTAAGACATAATTTCCAATAAAGTCAGAGCTGGAAGGAATCTTGGAGATAAGCCAACAACCCAACCCTTCTGTTACAGGTAGAGAAACTGAAGCCCAGTGAGGGGAAGGCGAGGTCGCAGAGTAGGGTTGGCAGGACTAGAGCACGGGTCTTCTGATCTTCAAGTCACGGTCTTTGACACACACACACTAGCAAGTGGAGCCTGTGTGTGGCCTTTCTTCAGCACACAGAGACCTTCTCTGACAAACTTTCAGTGTCTCAGTGTCACAGGTGGAGGGTGCAGAGCCTGGAGCAACAGAGAAGCACTTTCCTTTGCCTTTGCCAACTATCAAGATTTTATTGTAGATAATTTTACTTCCTAATTGTCTTTGTCACAAGCTGATGACCCAGTGACTCAGCATTTCCAGAATAAATGGAAGCCCAGAGATGGGGCAGCCTTCCAGACTCAGGCTGGAAGGTGGGGCTGGTCTGCTGGGAAAGGAGGGGTCAGTGGGGTAGAGACAGGGATCAGAGATGTAGGAGGAGCGGAGGCTCCAGGAACCTGAAACTGGAGAACCTCTACTATGGACACAGGCTCTGGAACCGCAGGGTCTGGGTGTAAATCCTGGTTCCGCCTTTTACTAGCTGAGAGACCTGGCTCTGTTTCCTCAAATCAGGGATAATCACACACAAATGTTCAATGATGAATATCAAGATTTATGTCAGTGTCTGACACAGCACACGAGGCAAGTCTTGCTGATGCATTAGTTAGAGTTGAAGGGAAGAAATTCCTCCTGCCCCAACAGCCAGCCTACTGCACTGTGGCCATTGGCTGCCATGTGCTGGGCAGCTCAACATGTGGACTCGAGCCAGACTGCCTGTGTTCAAGTCCTGCCTCCACCGCCTATGAGCTGCGTGACCTCAGGGTGGTTAAGTGCCTCAGTTTTCCTGTCTGTGAAATGGGACAGTAGTAGTCCCTATCTCGTGGATGGTTTATTTTGAAATGCTTAGAGCAGTACTTGACACATAGTTCATGTATGAGTTCTTTGATTTTTTTATTAACAAAATCATTATACTATTATTTTAGCCATTCTCACTTTCTTGCTATGTGAACTCGTTAAATTCAGGGTCATGCATTATGAATTGTCATGTCCACTCTCATCCTTAATTCTTACCACAGTCCCTGGCACCTAGTAGGTTTTCAAATCATATTCATCAGATGATTGAAGACTTCTGAGAGGAGGTGGCTTTTAGGCTGGGCTTTGGAGGATGGGTGAGATTTGGGGAGCAGAGGAGGCAGCGGAAAGGCCTATTAAGAAGAGGTACCACCCAGGGCGTGTGCTTCTTGACATGGTCATCATTCACGTGAGAAGTTTATTTCACCACACAAAAGGTAACTAAGGTGAAGCTGAAATAAGCTTCTAACCAAGGGCTGTCGCATGCGGAGTGTGCTGAGCTGCGTGAGGGGTCCGGGAGTGAGGACTGCGGGAGTGTTGGGGAGAAGATGGCGCTCTTAGCCTTGGCTGTTCCCATGATGATGTTCTCAGCATGAAGAGCACTGGCAGGAGGTGGCACTGACGCAGGGGAGACAGGCAGGGGCAGCCAGGGTGCACTGAGTGGGGTGGTGGCCTGGGCCACAGCTGGGAGAATGGGTAGATGACCAAACCAGACAGCCTCTTGATGTCTTTCCCAGCTCTGCTTCCTATGCCCTGTATGATCGCTTCCTCCCCATCCAGGTGATGGTGTGGATCCACGGAGGAGGTCTGATGTTGGGCGGGGCATCAACCTATGATGGGCTGGCCCTCTCTGCCCATGAAAACGTGGTGGTGGTGACCGTTCAGTACCGCCTGGGCATCTGGGGATTCTTCAGGTAAGACACTGGACTCTCCTCACGGCACATTGACCCTCAGTGTGGGAGTGCTAGGACCCCACTCTGGTCATGCAAGCGCTCAAAGGGATCTTTGCTAGGTTCCCTACTAAGACATGCAAGTCCCCTCATAATTGGGCTCTACCTACCTTCTCCTTCCCCAGCCACCCTGGTCCACTTACTTGCATGTAAAATGCCTGATCTGCCAGACAGACTCCTATTATTCCTGCAAAGCCCAACCCACATGTTACCTCGTCTGAAATGCTCATCTCTTTTTCACCTGTGCTGCCCAGCATGTTGCATACCTGTAAGGTGACGGTTAACATGCAGCGCAGCAGTTAGAGGCTTATACATCTTACCTCATGGGGAAGTAAGGAAGGAGCAGACTCACGTGGGAGCTCCGTAAAGTCTTGTAGGTGGAGGAACGGGTGGCTGGAACTTGGAGGCTGTAACGAGCACCTGGCTCCAGTGGACACGTCTACGGGGAGGAGCGTAGGGCCCACTCACCCCATTTCCTTCGTGGCGTTTGGCACATGCGTGAGCGAAGGCTCGAGTCTCCTCCATGGAGCGTCCGTGGGGACGGAACCGGACATCCTGCAGGCACAGTTACTGAATGCACCAGCCCCAGGACCTCCTACCCTCAGATGGCTGGTGGGTGGGCTTGGGGAGGGGTGGTCATCTCACTGGAAAGATCTATGGGCTGGAGGAGGGCTGTCCCAGGCGAGTCATGTCCCAGGATGTGTCGCCTTCACTGAGACTCCTCATGTCCTTCCCCCACGGCCCACGGCTGCTCCCAGTTACAGTATATCTGCGTACACTCCCCCCCCCCAGGCTCTCCTCTACCACGTCAGTCAGGGTTTCACCCCGGCCAGACACCACACTGCTCTGGTCCAGGTCACCAGCGGCCCAGCCTTGGCAGCAACCGCACGTCACCCCTCAAACCTTTTTGAAAAATTTCCTTCTCTTGGCTCCTGGCCACCTCCTCCCTCATGGCAGCTCCTTCTGGGCCCCTCCCCGTCTCAGCCTCTGTGTGCATCTTCTCTGTCCCGCTGGTTCCCTGAGTGACCTCAGGGGGCACTTCCAAGCTCCCTATTTTTAGCCCATTTCTCCTTTGAAACCCACAGGTACATCATTAACTACCTCCTGCCATCCCCACGGGACACCTGAGGGCACCTCCTCCCTTCCTCGAACAAACTTAACCCTTGACTCCCGATGCCCCTCCCCGCAGACCCTCCTCCTTTCTCCACAGGGCCTCCTGCTCAGCTGCAGGCAGCTCCACCCTTCCAGTTACTCAGGACAAAAGCCTGGGGGCACTTGGATTCTTTTCTTTTTCTCACACCCCACATCCAGTCACCAGCAAATCCTCTTGGCTCCACTTTTACAATATATTCAGAATCCAGCCACTTCTCACCTCCCTTGTAGTCACCCTGTTCAAAGCACTCTGTGTCTCTCCCCTGGATTGTTGTAATAACACCTACTTTTATAACCCTGCTATTTTACACCATGTCCGATCCACACAGTAGCCAAAGTGATCATTTAAGACATAAATGGAATCATGTCATCCCTGCAATGGCTTCCTAACTTACGATGACATTGACATCTTTACCAAGGCCCTCAGGGCCCTCTGTAGCTGTATGTCCTAGACCCACACTTTTGTTCACTGGACCCTGGGGCCTTTGCATGTGCTGTTTCTTCTTCCTGGAATTCCCTTTGGAATTGTAGAATAGTAGATGCTCAATAAATAAATGTGGAATGGATGTGTAGAGCGCTACAGCAGAACAATGCTACAGATGGGAGGCAGCCAAAGACCACAGTGTCAGGGCTGTGGAAGCCCAGCCTTTTCCAGAAGGCTCACCCAGACCCCCAGCCTCATCTGTGGTCCTGAGGGCCCTGCTGTGACATCTCTGCTCTCAACCCCACCCCTGTTCTCTTACAGCACAGGGGATGAACACAGCCGGGGGAACTGGGGTCACTCGGACCAGTTGGCCGCACTGCACTGGGTCCAGGAGAACACTGCCGACTTTGGAGGGGATCCAGGCTCTGTGACCATCTGTGGAGGGTCAGCAGGAGGGGAAACTGTCTCTATTCTTGTAAGTGTTCCTGGCCCTGATGTGGCTACCAATGGGACCCCTTGCAGACCAGCCAGTCTAGTCATGGGACCTGGATTCAAGGCTGACCCTACTCTGTGCAGCATCAGAAGGTGGAAAGTTATTGCCAAACTCTCCTTGGCCCCCAGGAAGCTCAGAGCTCAGCTTAGCACCCTGGGGCCACATCTCCAGCCACGGCTGCAACGGAGACATTCCTCCTGCCCTGTGTTGGTTGAGCTCTTACTCTCCTTCCTAATCATTTTACTATTAGTACTCACCTCACTCCTCTTGGGAAGTAGGGCTGGGTGTAAATTCTGGATAAAAAGAGGCAACCATGACGTTGGGTGCAATGTCATTATTTGGCTTGAAGGCAGATCTACAATTCAAGGGGACACAAACACTAAGAACAGGTCAGAGGCCTCCTCTGAGGAGGTCTGATGGCTTGTTCATGCTCAGGAAGGAGGGCAGCAGCCTCTGGGGCTGAGGATGGAGCTGGGCTGGGGGAGGAGGGGTAGAGAGAGGAAGGAGGATGGAAGGAGGGATGGGACCCGGGAAATGGAACACAGACATGACCTGGGAGCCTGATGTGGGAATGGGAATAGGGAGACACCAAGGGAAGCAAAAGTGGAAAACCAGATTAGAAGGCGCTGGGAGCTGTTAGAAACCCTCCAGCTGCCTCACAGTTGAGCAGAGAGTCAGTGCTATTACTGCATTTTAAGAGCATATCTTGGTTTCATAGTGGAACACTCAGAGGAAAATGATTTTATATTTCGTAAAGTGGAGAAAAGGAAAAGTACAGATAATCTCAAAGAAACAAAAAGTCTTTCACAGTCCCATTATCCTTGGATACTCACCATGAACATTTTTTTTTTTTTCCGGTACGCGGGCCTCTCACTGTTATGGCCTCTCCTGTTGCGGAGCACAGGCTCCAGACGCACAGGCTCAGCGGCTATAGCTCACAGGCCTAGCCGCTGTGCGGCATGTGGGATCTTCCCGGACCGGGGCACGAACCCGCATCCCCTGCATCGGCAGGCGGACTCTCAACCACTGCACCACCAGGGAAGCCCATGAACATTTTTTTTAATGTTTATTTTTTATTTCTTTTTTCTTATTAGTTATCCATTTTATACACATCAGTGTATACATGTCAATCCCAATCGCCCAATTCATCACACACATACCCCACCCCCCGCCACTTCCCCCCTTGGTGTCCATACGTTTGTTCTCTACTTCTGTGTCTCAATTTCTGCTCTGCAAACTGGTTCATCTGTACCATTTTTCTAGGCTCCACATACATGCGTTAATATACGATATTTATTTTTCTCTTTCTGACTTACTTCACTCTGTATGACAGTCTCTGCAGGCATCCACGTCTCTACAAATGACCCAATTTCGTTCCTTTTTATGGCTGAGTAATATTCCATTGTATATATGTACCATATCTTCTTTATCCATTCAACTGTCAGTGGGCATTTAGGTTGCTTCCGTGACCTGGCTATTGTAAATACTGCTGCAATTAACATTGGGGTGCATGTGTCATTTTGAATTATGGTTTTCTCTGGGTATATGCCCAGTAGTGGGATTGCTGGGTCATAGGGTAATTCTATTTTTAGTTCTTTAAGGAACCTCCATACTGTTCTCCATAGTGGCTGTAGCAATTTACATTCCCACCAACAGTGCAAGAGGGTTCCATTTTCTCCACACCCTCTCCAGCATTTGCTGTTTGTAGATTTTCTGATGATGCCCATTCTAACTGGTGTGAGGTGATACTCATTGTAGTTTTGATTTGCATTTCTCTAATGATTAGTGATGTTGAGCAGCTTTTCACATGCTTCTTGGCCATCTGTATGTCTTCTTTGGAGAAATGTCTGTTTAGGTCTTCTGCCCATTTTTGGAATGGGTCATATTTTTTTTAATATTGAGCTGCATGAGCTGTTTATATATTTTGGAGATTAATCCTTTGTCCAGTGATTCATTTGCAAATATTTTCCCCCATTCTGAGAGTTGTCTTTTCATCTTGTTTATGGTTTCCTTTGCTGTGCAAAAGCTTTTACGTTTAATTAGGTCCCATTTTTTTATTTTTGTTTTTATTTCCATTACTCAAGGAGGTGGATCAAAAAAGATCTTGCTGCGATTTATGTCAAAGAGTGTTCTTCCTCTGTTTTCCTCTAAGAGTTTTATAGTGTCTGGTCTTACATTTAGGTCTTGAATCCATTTTGAGTTTATTTTTGTGTATGGTGTTAGGGAGTGTTCTAATTTCATTCTTTTACATGTAGCTGTCCAGTTTTCCCAGCACCACTTATTGAAGAGACTGTCTTTTCTCCATTGTATATTCTTGCCTCCTTTGTCATAGATTAGTTGACCATAGGTGTGTGGGTTTATCTCTGGGCTTTCTATCCTGTTCCATTGATCTATATTTCTGTTTTTGTGCCAGTACCATATTGTCTTGATTACTGTAGCTTTGTACTATAGTCTGAAGTCAGGGAGTCTGATTCGTCCAGCTCTGTTTTTTTCCTCAAGACTGCTTTGGCTGTTCGGGGTCTTTTGTGTCTCCATACAAATTTTAAGCGTTTTGTTCTAGTTCTGTAAAACATGCCATTGGTAATTTGATAAGGATTGCATTGAATCTGTAGATTGCTTTGGGTAGGACAGTCATTTTCACAATATTGATTCTTCCAATCCAAGAACATGATATATCTCTCCATCTGTTGGTATCATCTTTAATTTCTTTCATCAGTGTCTTATAGTTTTCTGCATACAGGTCTTTTGTCTCCCTAGGTAGGTTTATTCCTAGGTATTTTATTCCTTTTGCTGCAGTGGTAAATGGGAGTGTTTCCTTAATTTCTCTTTCAGATTTTTCATCATTAGTGTATAGGAATGCAAGAGATTTCTGTGCATTAATTTTGTATCCTGCAAGTTTACCAAATTCATTGATTAGCTCTAGTAGTTTTCTGGTGGCATTTTTAGGATTCTCTATGTATAGTATCATGTCATCTGCAAACAGTGGCAGTTTTACTTCTTCTTTTCCAATTTGTATTCCTTTTATTTCTTTTACTTCTCTGATTGCTGTGGCTAGGACTTCCAAAACTATGTTGAATAATAGTGGTAATAATGGACATCCTTGTCTTGTTCCTGATCTTGGAGGAAATGCTTTCAGTTTTTCACCATAGAGAATGATGTTTGCTGTGGGTTTCTCGTATATGACCTTTATTATGTTGAAGTAGGTTCCCTCTATGCCCACTTTCTGGAGAGTTTTTATCATAAAAGCTGTTGAATTTTGTCAAAAGCTTTTTCTGCATCTATTGAGATGATCATATGGTTTTTATTCTTCAGTTTGTTAATATGGTGTATCACATTCATTGATTTGCACATATTGAAGAACCCTTGCATCTCTGGGATAAATCCCACTTAAGCATGGTGTATGACCCTTTTAATGTGTTGTTGGATTCTGTTTGCTAGTATTTTGTTGAGGATTTTTGCATCTATATTCATCTGTGATATTGGTCTGTAATTTTCTTTTTTTGTAGTATTATCTTTGTCTGGTTTGGGTATCAGGGTGATGGTGGCCTCACAGAATGAGTTTGGGAGTATTCCTTCCTCTACAATTTTTTGGAAGAGTTTGGGAAGGATGGGTGTTAGCTCTTCTCTAAATGTTTGATAGAATTCACCTGTGAAGCTATCTGGTCCTGGACTTTTGTTTGTTGGAAGAATTTTAATCCCAGTTTCAATTTCATTACTTGTGATTGGCCTGTTCATATTTTCTATTTCTTCCTGGTTCAGTCTTGGAAGGTTATACCTTTCTAAGAATTTGTCCATTTCTTCCAGGTTGTCCATTTTATTGGCATAGAGTTGCTTGTAGTAGTCTCTTAGGATGCTCTGTATTTCTGCAGTGTCTGTTGTAACTTCTCCCTTTTCATTTCTAATTTTATTGATTTGAGTCCTCTCCCTCTTTTTCTTGATGAGTCTGGCTAATGGTTTGTCAATTTTGTTTATCTTCTCAAAGAACCAGCTTTTAGTTTTATTGATCTTTGCTATTGTTTTCTTTGTTTCTATTTCATTTATTTCTGCTCTGATCTTTATGATTTCTTTCCTTCTGCTAACTTTGGGTTTTGTTTGTTTTTCTTTCTCTAGTTCCTTTAGGTGTAAGGTTAGATTGTTTATTTGAGATTTCTCTTGTTTCTTGAGGTAGGCTTGTATAGCTGTAAACTTCCGTCTTAGAACTGCTTTTGCTGCATCCCATAGGTTTTGGATCGTTGTGTTTTCATTGTCATTTGTTTTGATTTCCTCTTTGATTTCTTCAGTGATCTCTTGGCTACTTAGTAACGTATTGTTTAGCTTCCATGTGTTTGTGCTTTTTACGTTTTTTTCCCTGTAATTGATTTCTAATCTCATAGTATTGTGGTCAGAAAAGATGGTTGATATGATTTCAATTTTCTTAAATTTACTTAGGCTTCATTTGTGACCCAAGATATGATCTATCCTGGAGAATGTTCCCTGAGCACTTGAGAAGAAAGTGTAATATGTTTTTGGATGGAATGTCCTATAAATATCAATTAAATCTATCTGGTCTATTGTGTCATTTAAAGCTTCTGTTTCCTTATGTATTTTAATTTTGGATGATCTGTCCATTGGTGTAAGTGAGGTGTTAAAGTCCCCACTATTATTGTGTGACTGTCAATTTCCTGCTGTTAGCAGTTGCCTTATGTATTGACGTGCTCCTATTTTGAGTGCATATATATATATATATATATATTTTTTTTTTTTTTTTTTTTTGTGTATATCTATTTATAATTGTTATTTCTTCTTCCTGGATTGATCCCTTGATTGTTATGTAGTGTCCTTCCTTGTCTCTTGTAACATTCTTTATTTTGAAGTCTGTTTTATCTGATATGAGTATTGCTACTCCAGCTTTCTTTTGATTTCCATTTGCATGGAATATCTTTTTCCATCCCCTCACTTTCAGTCTGTATGTGTCCCTAGGTCTGAAGTGGGTCTCTTGTAGACAGCATATATATGGGTCTTGTTTTTGTATCCATTCAGCGTGCCTGTGTCTTTTGGTTGGAGCATTTACTCCATTCACGCTTAAGGTAATTATCGATATGTATGTTCCTATTACCATTTTCTTAATTGTTTGGGGTTTGTTTTTGTAGGTTCTTTTCTTCTCTTGTGTTTCCCACTTAGAGAAGTTCCTTTAGCATTTGTTGTAGAGCTGGTTTGGTGGTGCTGAATTCTCTTAGCTTTTGCTTGTCTCTAAAGCTTTTGATTTCTCCATTGAATCTGAATGAGATCCTTGCCGGGTAGAGTAATCTTGGTTGTAGGGTCTTCCCTTTCATCACTTTAAGTATATCATGCCACTCCCTTCTGGCTTGTCGAGTTTCTGCTGAGAAATCAGCTGTTAACCTTATGGGAGTTCCCTTGTATGTTATTTGTCATTTTTCCTTTGCTGCTTTCAATAATTTTTCTTTGTCTTTAATTTTTGCCAATTTGATTACTATGCATCTCAGCGTCTTTCTCCTTGGGTTAATCTTGTATGGGACTCTCTGCGCTTCCTGGACTTGGGCAGCCATTTCCTTTCCCATGTTATGGAAGTTTTTGACTATAATCTCTTCAAATATCTTCTCGGGTCCTTTCTCTCTCTCTCTTCTCCTTCTGGAACCCCTATAATGCAAATGTTGTTGCATTTAATGTTGTCCCAGAGGTCTCTTAGGCTGTCTTCATTTCTTTCCATTCTTCTTTCTTTATTTTTTTCCGCAGCAGTGAATTCCACCATTCTGTCTTCCAGGTCACTTATCCGTTCTTCTGCCTCAGTTATTCTGTTATTGATTCCTTCTAGTGTATTTTTCATTTCAGTTATTGTATTGTTCATCTCTGCTTGTTTGTTCTTTAATTCTTCTAGGTTTTTTTAAAACATTTCTTGCATCTTCTCGATCTTTGCCTCCATTCTTTTTCCAAGGTCCTGGATCATCTTCACTATCATTATTCTGAATTCTTTTTCTGGAAGGTTGCCTATCTCCACTTCATTTAGTTGTTTTCCTGGGGTTTTATCTTGTTCCTTCATCTGGTACATAGTCCTCTGCCTTTTCATTTTGTCTATCTTTCTGTGAATGTGGTTTTTGTTCCACAGGCTGCAGGATTGTAATTCTTCTTACTTCTGCTCTCACCATGAACATTTTGATCTGTATTTTTCTAGTGTTTTTTTCCATGACCCACCCTATCTATCTATGTATCTGTCTATCTATCCATCTATCTATGTATTTATCAATCTAGCTAGAATTTTTTAAACACAAACTTTCCTTAGCATTATAAAACAACATAAATATTTCTCTAACCATTAAGCACTCTTTCATGTTTTTATGTGTATAGTCAAGAAGTATTCCATTGTAAGAATGAAAAATAGTTTATTTACTGAATCTCATAATATTGTAACCTTGGGTTATTTCCAATTTTTACTACTATAAACAACATGAGCATTCTTAGTAACTGTTGTGTACCTCCGTGTTCATTTTCCATAGGATAAATTCTTTTTTTAAATTAATTAATCTATTTATTTATTTATTTTGGCTGCGTTGGGTCTTTGTTGCTGTGCACGGGCTTTTCTCTAGTTGCAGCGAGCGGGGGCTACTCTTCATTGGGGTGCGCAGGCTTCTCATTGCAGTGGCTTCTCTTGTTGTGGAGCATGGGCTCTAGGTGCGCGCGTCAGTAGTTGTGGCACATGGGCTCAGTAGTTGTGGCTCGCGGGCTCTAGAGGGCAGGCTTAGTAGTTGTGGCACACAGACTTAGTTGCTCCATGGCATGTGGGATCTTCCCGGAACAGGGCTCGAACCCATGTCTCCTGCATTGGCAGGCAGATTCTTAACCACTGCACCACCAGGGAAGTCCAGGATAAATTCTGAGTAATGGAAATGGGGAATCAGAACTGTGCTTTAAAGTGTTGCTAGGAATTGCTGAGCTGCCTTTCAGATACTTTGATTGTTAATAATCAGTGTGTGCCACACACTTCCTGTTTTGTCCTTCACTCTGCTCCTGGCTCCTTCCAACTGAGGTTTGCTTGCAGAAGCCAGGCCCCATGGTCTCCAGGGGAACAGCCCAGGACAGGGCTGTGGATGGGGATAGCTCATGAGCATAAATTCCCTTTCTCGCCACCCTGTTCCCAGGTGTTATCTCCCCTGGCCAAGAATCTCTTCCACCGGGCCATCTCTGAGAGTGGTGTGGCCCTCACTTCTATCCTGGTCAAGAAGGACATGAAGGCTGCAGCTAAGGTAGGTCTCACACTGGACTGTCCCCACACCCTTTGCTCTGCTCTCCTGGAGTTGTCAGGGGTCTTTCTTGCTGTGGGAGCCAGTTAACATCCTCAAAGAATCACAGAAATGAGGGTAGCTGAGCAGGGAAGGCAAGGACACACCTCATCCCACCTCCACCTTCTACCGCTGAGCAAACTGGGGCAGAGAGCAGAAACACTTGCCAAGGTCAGCGAGTGATCAGAGCAGAGCCGGACTCAGGCTCATGACTCTGGACAGCCAGCCCCATGCATGGTCCTCCTAAGGGAGGGGTGCTGGGCTGGATGTGTCTGGTGGACTGTCATTGTGTCTTGCCTCTCTCAGGGTCTGAGGTCTGGTGAACTCATTTGTACCATGTGGGCCTGGAGTGGTTCCTCCCTGGGGGCTTGTGACTGGGGTGAGTTCCTGAGAATTCATTCATTGCTTTATTCATTCATTCAACGGATAGTTTTGGTGCAGCCTGACATCTAGCTTCTATTCTCAGGGAAGAGACAGATTAATGATTACATAATTGCACAACTTATAAAATATCAATTGTGACAATAGCAATAGAGGTGAGATACCTGATGTCATAACAGAATCCAAAAGGAGCGCTTAGTCCAGTGGATAGGGGGAGGTTATCAGGAAAGTCTTCATGAAAAAAAAAAGATTAACAAGTTGAGATGAGAAGGATGAGCAGTAAATTACTTGGTAAGAAAAGAGTATCCAGGAAGAGGGAGCAGCCTGTGCAAATGTCCTGTGGCAGGAGCAGGTATCTCAAGTGAGAGAGAGCGAGAAAGCCTGCTGTGGCCAAAGCAGAAAGGACAGACGGAACCTGGAGTGAAGTGAGGATGGAGCCATCGGCAGGGCCATGCTGTGTAGGACCTGGTGAGGACTTTGTCTTTATTTGGAGAGTGTTAGGAAGCCAAGGAAGGGTGAGCAACAGGGAGGCTCTGCTGAGGAGTGTGCGTGAAGTCCCAACCACTGGATCGCCAGGGAAATCCCTCCTCTGGGTTTTTTGACCTGAGCAAGGTGATACATGAGGCCCACACAGAGCATCCACTAGCACTCCCTCTGGACAGCAGTGTTCACTGTCCCTCTTACTGTTGCTGGTATCAGTCAGTCCCCACTGGACACTGCCCTGGACGCCACCTTGATCAACTTGGACCCTTGTTGTCTCTCTACTGCCCCTCCTCATCCCATGTCCCACGGTCCTGACAGATTTCCCCTTGTAAACACAGGCCAGAGCATGCCACCTCTGTCTTAAAAGACAGACCTTCCTTACAAGACAAATCCCCTCACTCATGGAGTTATTCATTCAAATTGCATCTGAGTCCCTACTGTGTGCAGCATGTGCAGAACACGTGCTCCAACATGTGACCATGTCTCTAGTCCACACCCCCAACATTCCTCCAAGCCTAGGACCCTTGGGGTTTGAGGTTCCTGGGATGAGCACTAAAGGGACACCTTTGTCACTTTGCTTATGCTGTTCCCACTCTTTAGAAAACTGTTCATTCCCCAGAGCCCACTGCCAAAGGTAGGCACCTCTTCTGTGTGGCCTTCCTGGGTCCTCCTTCCAGAATGAGTTGCTCCTCTTGCCGGCCTCCTGCAGCAGCCCTTCCTGAACTGTGCAGCCTTTGGAAGTGAGCAATAGTGGCACCCCAGACCCTTCTCCCCTATCGTCAGCCATAGTGGATTAGGATTCAGGGCCTTGTCCTGCTGCGTCAGAATCATGCGACAGAACCTCTCTTGCTGGCAACTAGAGCTGGCCTGTCATTCACTGGTCCTTGCAGAGCAGAAGCAGGTCCCGGGAGCGATAGGGTCTCAGAGCCTAGGAATTGTCCACTTCTACCTGCCATCCAGGAGGGGAATATGCACATGGGGCTGGTGTCCAGTGCAGGATCTGTAGCAGCACTGCTAATGAATCATATCTAATGTTATTCAGCCCTTTCCAGGTTCCAGGTACTATGCTCAGCATTTTGCATGTGTTCAGTAATTTAATCCCCACAACAACCCATCTTATAGATGAGGAAACTGAGGCACACACAGGTGAAACTACTTTCCCAAGTTACCAGCTAGTAAATGAGAAAGCCAGATTTCAAATCCAGTCTGGCTCCAAAAACCCCGCTCTTAATGACCACTGTGACCAAATATGAACTATAACTATACCGGAAACCAGCTTCCCAGGTGGTGACACGTGAGTCAGTTGCTACTAATCTGTGGCCATGTCAATACAGTAGTCCCTCATCATCCTCGAGGAATAAGTTCCAAGACCCCCAGTGGATGCCCAAAACCTCAGAGAGTACCAAACCCTATATATCCTATGTTTTGGTTCCTATGCATACATACCTGTGATAAAGTTTAATTCATAAATTAGGTACCCTAAAAGAATATCCAAATGCTAGCATCACTACTCTTGGGCTTTGGAGCCATTATCAAGTAAATAAGGGTCACCTGAACACAAGCCCTGCAATACCATGAGAGTTGATCTGGTAACCAAGAGGGCTACTAAGTGACTAGCGGGCAGGAGACCCTGGCAACCATAAAGGACACGACACTGCCCTCTTCCCCAGAGCTTTCCTTTCCCGCCCACCGTGCTTGACGGAGTGCTGCTGCCAAAGACGCCCGAAGAGATTCTGGCTGAAAAGAATTTCCACCCCGTTCCCTACATCGTGGGAATCAACAAGCAGGAGTGTGGCTGGATTCTGCCGATGGTGAGAAAGTGCAGGCCTCTTAGACTCGCCTCCCCTGCCCGTCACATCACCCCTCCCATCTCTGGTCACAGGACCCCTCCTTCTATGCACGCCCCTCTGGCACCTTCATACACCTTGACGTTTCCGTGGAAACCTTCTCCACGATGGCCCAGCTGTCACCTGGGTGGTGCGGCCCTGGGAACCCACATCCTCACACACTCTCTGCTTGTCCTCCCATCCAAGAATCCTGAAATGTCAGTGCCAGGAGGGCTGGTAGAGAAAATCATTGGGCAGATGAGAAACCCAAGGCCTGGAAAGGGGAAGGGGCTTGGGAGTTAAGGAGAGTGAGGCCTGGGACCTGCAGCCTCTCCCCTGGGCTTGGTGCTTTCATAGTTTCTCCATAAATTCCACCCACCCACACCTCACACTCTCATTCATCTAACTGGAAAGATTCAAAGGAGGCTGCTTCCTCCTGAGTTAAAATTGACTTCTAAAAGTTAGGAAGAGCTTTCCCTTCAGTCAAAAATAAACAAAGCCGGACACTAGTTGAATTGGTAATGAGTTTGATTCAGTGACACTCTTGCTATAGGGAAAAGATCAATTGTAAACTGAACCCAAATCCCTGAAACAAAAGTCTGGAGCCTATTTAAGGCTGCGGGCGGGCGCGGGGAGGGGAGATTTGCCCATGAAACTGGGCCACCTGGATTTGTTAGCTGCCATTTATCTGGAGAAGAAACAAACTTCTGTCTTTATGACAGGAGGCCGTGGTGTAAGTAGAAGCAAGGCTCCCACTGAAATTAGGCATTATCTTTCCACAGGGCCTGGGGGAGAGAGCAAGAATTATCCCTTGAATGTTTGCTTTTCATAAAAGTTGGCTCTCAGGTCCTTGAGAAAACAGGTTGGAGCAGTGGTTTTACATCCCAAAGGGCAGAAAAAGGTTTTAAAATTACAAGGTTTCTAAAGCAGCTGCACTAAGAAAGGGTTCAGGGACATACCTGCCTATCAGCAGGTTTTGGCTAGAACAAACAGTAAAATCTCCTGGCAGCACAGAGCTTTATAAAGGGGCCTGGGGTCATCCTGGGGACGTGGCCTTAAGCTGCTTGCGGCTGTGCTAGAGTTTGGTCTAGTCATTCAGTGCAGAATTTTGATGGAGTCATTATGTGCAGAGTTCTGCAGTTCTTCAGAATGATTTCAGAGGTTATACCAAAGGACCAAAACCATAATGGCAGGATTTGAGGCTTTCTCTGCTATCTGACACAGCCGGGGTACTTGTGAGGTCTGTGTCATCTGCCCCACTTCAACACTTGGCTGGCTGAAACCTTCCCTTGCACCTAGATTTGTTAGCTGGCATTTATCTGGAGGAGAAACAAACTTCGTCTCTCTTTATGACAGGAGGCCGTGGTGTAAGTAGAAGCAAGGCTCCCGCTGAAATTAGGCCTTTATCTTTCCACGGGGACTGGAAGAGAGAGCAAGAATTACCCCCTGAATGTTTGCTTTTCATAGGGATGGCTCTCAGGTCCTGAGGAAACAGTTTTGTGTGGTAGATTTACATCTCAAAGGGCAGAGAAAGGATTTATAATAACAAGGTTTTAAAGTAACTGTTCTAAGAATGGGTTCAGGGACCTACCTGCCTATCACCAGGTTTGGGCTAGAGCAAATGGTAAATTTTCCTGGCAGCACAGAGCTTTTTAAGGGGGCCTGGGGTCATCCTGGGGACAGGGCCTTAAGCTGCTTGCGGCTGTGCTAGAGTTTGGTCAAGTCAGTGCAGAGTTTTGATGCAGTTGTTATGTGCAGAGTTCTGCAGTTCTTCAGTTCTTCAGAATGATTTCAAAGATTATACCGAAAGACTAAAACCATAATGACAGGATTTGGGGCTTTCTCTGCTATCTGACACAGGCGGGGTACTTGTGAGGTCTGTGTCATCTGCCCCACTTCAACACTTGGCTGGCTGAAACCTTCCCTCTCTGTCTTGATGACCACTGTGGAGACTCTAGCCTAAATATATATATATATATATGCATACATATATATGCACGCATACACACACACACACACACACACACACACACATATATATATATATAAATATACATACATACACATACACACAAAGACTGGGGCACCTTCCCTTAACAATTACTTTATCTTCTTTGTACTCCTTGATTTCTAAATATAAAAGTCCATTTGATTCATTGATTTTGCCCAACTCCTCAAAGACCCATGCCCATCAAGACATGACAAAGTGACCTTCAGCCTGCATTGGTTTGGTTTGTTGGTCACTTCAGTTTTTCTTGCCATTACCGGATGATTCACAAGTGCTTAACCTTTGTTTTAACAGTTCATGGGCTACTCATTCTCTGAAGGCAAGCTGGACCAGAAGACGGCCACATCACTCGTGTGGAAGTCCTACCCCATCCTTGTAAGAGTCTAGGAATCACAGGAACTGGCTGAGCCCTAAAGAGGGGAAGAGGCTTGTCCCCAACTGCAGAGCAACTAATGGCAGAATGAAGACTGGGGCTGGGGGGGTTCTACTCCCATTTTTATGCCTTTCCACCTCAACACCAGGAGTGGGCGGAAGTGGTTGCACAGAACTTGAGAGGTTCACCATTAATGCAAGCCTTCCTCCCTGGCTGGAGAAGCCATGCTGTTCACTAGGGCTTGGTGGTCACTTTCACTGTTGATCTATTTCAGAACATCCATGAGGAACTGACTCCAGTGGCTACTGACAAGTATCTAGGAGGGACGGAGGACCCTGCCATAAAGAAAGACTTGTTCCTGGACTTGATTGCAGATGGGATGTTTGGTGTCCCATCTGTGAATGTGGCCCGTCGCCACAGAGGTGAGTCATGGAAAGTGGACAGGAGAAGGACACTGACCGCACCAGCTTCACACTGTATTGTCTCCTAATGCTCAGCATAGAAAGATATGTGGGGGGACTTCCCTGGTGGCACAGTGGTTAAGAATCTGCCTGCCAATGCAGGGGACACGGGTTCGAGCCCTGGTCTGGGAAGATCCCACATGCCGTGGAGCAACTCTGTGTGCCACAACTACTGAGCCTGCGCTCTAGAGCCCGTGAGCCACAACTACTGAGCCCACGTGCCACAACTACTGAGGCCTGCATGCCTAAGGCCCATGCTCCGCAACAGGAGAGGCCACTGCAATGAAAGGCCTGTGCACCACAACACCCCTGCTCGCCACAGCTAGAGAAAGCCCACGCACAGCAGCAAAGACCCAACGCAGCCAAAAAATAATAAATAAATAAATAAATTTATTTTTTAAAAAAAGATATGTGGAAACTCCAAGGTCCATTCTATATGGCCTGGGGACAGTGGGGGGGGGCACTGTCCTATTTTGGTTTCCACCAGGAGCGACTCCAAGGAAAGGGTCCAAATACAAATATTTTATTTGGGGGGTGATCCCAGGAAACACCAGTAGAGGAGTGGAGAAGTGACATGAATGGAGAGGAAGCCAGTCCACACCGCACTGTCAAGAAAGCATCCACTGTGGACAGCTGGAGCTGGGGAGCTCTGAGAAAGACATATCTTAGGGTTATCCCAAGACAGTGGCAAGAGAGCTGGGGTATTTATCCTCCAACTTTGTCAAGACATTGGTTGAAGGCTGTTCCCAAGGGCAGTTAATTCCCTGGTGCTTTGACCTGCTGCACACATGGGCAGAGTGATCTCTGGCTGCCAAAGACCTCAGGCAAAGAGCTGTGGATGCAGGAGGTGGAACTCAGGCTGACGTGCCCGGAAGCAGGGGTTATGGGGAGGCACTGACAGCATCTGCCACAGGGCTCCTCACTTGAATTGCAGTGGTCTGTGGGGCTAGAGGGGAAATCTTGGAAGATAGGTCTTGGAAGGTTTCCAAGGTCAGAGCTAGTTGCAAACTAGTTTGTTAACCAGTGGAGCTGGGGGTAGAGTGAGGCCAAGAGTAAGACCAGGAGTGTTGTCTGGGACCAAGAAAGCTGAAAGGAGTGAGCAGGGGAGCTGTAGGGCAGGTGGTCTGGAGAATGTTGATGTCTGCAGCTGGCCTTGTTCCATCCCAGTGTGTGCTGGGTCTATCACAGGACCTTTCAACATATCCCAAGACTGTGTAGGGGGGATGTGAGGTCAGGGATGGATGAGCTCACCCGAACAGGAGGTGTCCCTTTGGGGCGCCTTGTTGAGGTCCTCACCGGACCCTTCCTTTTCTAGGAGCTATCCTTCACCTAGTCTGCAAGGCAGGAAATGGTTCTCTGATCCAGACCACTCTCTCTAACTGTGCTAGAAGGGTTTTAGAATTGGGGACTTTAAAAGCATAATAAAAATTAGCTACAACTCACCTACCATGTCCCCAAAATACAGGACAGTCATGTACAGGTGCTGGTTACCACTCCCTCCTCCATAGGGTCCTGATGAAACTCTTCATCCAGGGGCTGCCTGGAGTCAAATCTGTTCTTTCACAAACTTGGCTTTGTCTCTCGATACATGTGGTTTCCTCTTCCTCACTGTCTGTTGACCCAGCCGTCCTGGACTTGTGTTTTATCTGAATCTCATGACTGCATTCAGGATCTTTTTTGCCTGGACTTCCCAGATTTTATCAACATTATTCTTTCCTTTTTGTACTTGTCTTACTCTTTTTTTTATAGAACTTTTCTGAATATAAAATTAACATCTTACAGTTGTAGAACATTTTGAAAATATGAAACACATAAAGAAGAAACTAGATATCACTCATAATTCCTCCACCTAGAAGAATCTGCTATAAATTTTTGACATATTTTCTTCTATTAATTTTTCCATATCTTACATATAATTTAAATATTAATTTTATCTTATGTTTTTGTTCACAGAATCCTATATTGTAAGCATTTCCTCAAAGTCAACAAAAACTCATAAAAAACATCCATTATTTCATGGAATAATGCATTGAAATTTACTTTAGTCTTCCTGTCCTATTGGATATTTAGGCAGGGTGCCCATACTTTGATGCTACAAAAACATTATGCTCAGCCTCATGTGCATAAATCTTTAACCAAATCTCTGATGATTTTCTTAGGATTGGTTATTAGAGGCTTAATTACTAGCCTGGGACTGTAGGAGCATTTTAAATTTCTTGATACATATTGTGAAATTGCTTTCCAGTGTATAAGAGTGTGGATGTCTTTTTTTTAATTAATTAATTTATTTTATCTTTATTGGAGTATAATTGCTTTACAATGGTGTGTTCATTTCTGCTGTATAACAAAGTGAATCAGCTATATGTATCCATATATCCCCGTATCCCCTCCCTCTTGAACCTTCCTCCCACCCTCCATACCCCACCCCTCTAGGTCGTCACAAAGCACCGAGCTGATCTCCCTGTGCTATGTGGCTGCTTCCCACTAGCTAGCTATTTTACATTTGGTAGTGTATATATGTCAGTGCTACTCTCTCACTTCATCCCAGCTTCCCCTTCCCCACCCTGTGTCCTCAAGTCCGTTCTCTACGTCTGTGTCTTTATTCCTGCCCTGCCACTAGGTTCATCAGTACTGTTTTTTCTTAGATTCCATATATGTGCATTAGCATATGGCATTTGTTTTTGTCTTTCTGATTTACTTCACTCTGTATGACAAACTCTAGGTCTATCCACCTCATTACAAATAACTCAATTTTGTTCCTTTTTATGGCTGAGTAATATTCCATTGTATATATGTGCCACATCTTCTTTATCCATACATCTATCGATGGACATTTAGGTTGCTTCCGTGTCCTGGCTATTGTAAATAGAGCTGCAATGAACATTGTGGTACATGATTCTTTTTGAATTATGGTTTCTCAGGGTATGTGCCCAGTAGCGGAATAGCTGGGTGATATGGTAGTTCTATTTTTAGTCTTTTTTTTTTAATACAGCAGGTTCTTATTAGTCATCAATTTTATACACATCAGTGTATACATGTCAATCCCAATCGCCCAATTCATCACACCCCCACCCCCCCCCCCACCCCCCACCCCAGCTTTCCCCCCTTGGTATCCATACATTTGTTCTCTACATCTATGTCTCAATTTCTGCCCTGTAAACTGGTTCATCTGTACCATTTTTCTAGGTTCCACATATACACGTTAATATACAATATTTGTTTTTCTCTTTCTGACTTACTTCACTCTGTATGACAGTCTCTAGATCCATCCACATCTCAACAAATGACCCAATTTCGTTCCTTTTTATGGCTAATACTCCATTGTATATATGTACCACATCTTCTTTATTCATTTGTCTGTCGATGGGCATTTAGGTTGCTTCCATGACCTGGCTATTGTAAATAATGCTGCAGTGAACATTGTGGTGCATGTGTCTTTTTGTTTTTTTTTGTTTTTTTGTTTTTTTAAATAAAGCTGTGGTTTTATTTATTTTTTATTTTTATTTTTTTTGCAGTACACCGGCCTCTCACTGTTGTGGCCTCTCCCGATGCGGAGCACAGGCTCCGGACGCGCAGGCTCAGCGGCCATGGCTCACGGGCCTAGCCGCTCCGCGGTATGTGGGATCTTCCCAGACCGGGGCATGAACCCGTGTCCCCTGCATCGGCAGGCAGACTCTCAACCACTGCACCACCAGGGAAGCCCCGCATGTGTCTTTTTGAATTGTGGTTTTCTCTGGGTATATGCCCAGTAGTGGGATTGCTGGGTCATATGGTGTTCTGTTTTTAGTTTTTTAAGGAACCTCCATACTGTTCTCCATAGTGGCTGTATCAGTTTACGTTCCCACGACAGTGCAGGGGGGTTCCCTTTTCTAAGAGTGTGGATTTCTTAATTCTCTCAGTTGAGATACTCAGATTAAAAAATAAAAATAGGGACTTCCCCAGTGGTGCAATGGTTAAGAACCTGCCTGGTAATGCAGGGGACACAGGTTCGAGCCCTGGTCCGGGAGGATCCCACCTGCTGCGGAGTAACTAAGCCTGTGCCCCACAACTACTGAGCCTGTGCTCTAGAGCCTGTGAGCCACAACTCCTGAGCCCACGCGCCACAACTACTGAGGTCCTTGCACCTAGAGCCCATGCTCCGCAACAGGAGAAGCCACCGCAATGAGAAGCCTGCGCACCACAACAAAGAGTAGCCTCCACTCGCCACAACTAAAGAAAGCCCACACACAGCAACAAAGACACAATGCACCCAAAAATAAATTAGTTAATTAATTAAAAAAATAAAAATAATGCTGCTAATTTCATAAGCCCCTCCTAACCAAAAAAAAAAAATCACCCATTTAATTTGCGTATTTTTGATTGCTAGCTTTCCTTCCCTCTTCTTTTCTTATTGTTCTTAAATGTTATTATTCAATTCTGTGCCTACTTTCTTTTGAAGACTTGTGTTGTGGTTGCAGGAATTTAATAAATCTCAGAGGTTTAAGGCAGAAAGTTTAAAAAAACAAAAAGAAACAAAGAAGGAGAATATATTTTGGGCAGCATGCTGCCATAATTAAGTTCTCTCATTCACAAAAGGTCTTTCCTCTCTGGCTGGGTTGTGAGTTCCCACGACAGTGCAGGGGGGTTCCCTTTTCTAAGAGTGTGGATTTCTTAATTCTCTCAGTTGAGATACTCAGATTAAAAAATAAAAATAGGGACTTCCCCAGTGGTGCAATGGTTAAGAACCTGCCTGGTAATGCAGGGGACACAGGTTCGAGCCCTGGTCCGGGAGGATCCCACCTGCTGCGGAGTAACTAAGCCTGTGCCCCACAACTACTGAGCCTGTGCTCTAGAGCCTGTGAGCCACAACTCCTGAGCCCACGCGCCACAACTACTGAGGTCCTTGCACCTAGAGCCCATGCTCCGCAACAGGAGAAGCCACCGCAATGAGAAGCCTGCGCACCACAACAAAGAGTAGCCTCCACTCGCCACAACTAAAGAAAGCCCACACACAGCAACAAAGACACAATGCACCCAAAAATAAATTAGTTAATTAATTAAAAAAATAAAAATAATGCTGCTAATTTCATAAGCCCCTCCTAACCAAAAAAAAAAAATCACCCATTTAATTTGCGTATTTTTGATTGCTAGCTTTCCTTCCCTCTTCTTTTCTTATTGTTCTTAAATGTTATTATTCAATTCTGTGCCTACTTTCTTTTGAAGACTTGTGTTGTGGTTGCAGGAATTTAATAAATCTCAGAGGTTTAAGGCAGAAAGTTTAAAAAAACAAAAAGAAACAAAGAAGGAGAATATATTTTGGGCAGCATGCTGCCATAATTAAGTTCTCTCATTCACAAAAGGTCTTTCCTCTCTGGCTGGGTTGTGAGTTCCATTCTAAAACTTCTGAGTGGCAGAGCCAAGGATAAAACCCCTCCTTACAGCAATTTCTGCTTGACCTTGAAACAACTGTTTAATAAGTGGATTATGGGACCACAGAAGGATTGCTTCTTCCAAAAACGCCTCTTGCTAAACCAAAGTGCAATGATGGGGGGGTGAGAGAGGCAATTAAATAGATTATTCTACATCCTCCTGTGGGGATAGCATATATGGTTAAGCTACTTTGTGGGCTAATATTTAATGATATGAAGCAATAATTATAGTCATATGAAATAACATATACAATAGTATCCTAATTTTATATACATAAGTCGGATAAGTGTTAAAATATTAACAGAGGCTTCTCTGAGCGGTGGGATTAGATGTGATCTTTTTGTTCTTATTCCTTTTTTCTGCATTTTCCAAATGTGATTCTGTCCCCAGGAAGGGAAAAAGTGTGATATTTCCCCACCAGTCTGACTTGGGGCCTGACCCTTCCCGGGTAGAGTCACTCGCTCTGGGCATAATGATCAATGCAAAGCACGGAGCTCCCCGGGCGGGTGGCCCGTGAGTTAGCCCTGAAGGAGCAAAGATGGGCAACGCTGCTGAAGCATCAGCGGGAAAACTGACATCTTCCTGGGGCTTAGAGAGGGGGTGGTGAGCGTAGGGGCAGGGGAGAGGAGGAGGGAGGAAGTGTACCCTTCCTCGGCCCCTTCCTTCTGCCACTACCTTCACACTCCCTGGGCCAAGCAGGAAGCAAGACCTGTGAGATGACAGAGAAAAAGGAAATGCTGAATTGTGGTTTCCTGAGACACAAGGAATAGACTGTCCCGTTTCTGCATAGGCTTGTATTTAAATATCTGCACTTTCAGACCAGCAACTTGGATTTACTTCACTCTTCTTGGAATACGTGTGAAAAACACCAGAAACGCTCAAAAATGGGCATAATAGAAGGCACCTGTCAGGCTGCAGGTATTCTCCAAGGGAATGAAGACTAACCTGTTAGCAATGAAATACAGTAGTGTAAAGTGTGTGCATATAGACGTCCTGTGTGTATAAATGCATCAGAAGGGGCTTATGTGAGTTGACCTAGTGCCCCTATAGTTATTTTGAATGGATCTACCCAAGGTTTCAACATTCATTCATTTATTCAATCAATCTTCACTTATTCATTCAATGAATACCTGGCTCAAATCCTATTCCACCTCCCCCAACTATGTACCCTTAATCAAGTCACGAAATTTTTCCAAAAATCTTTTTCTCTATTATGCTGATAACCAGGGGCTTCCTGCAGGAACACACAGGGTCTGGCACACAGTTGCTTCTCACAACGGGCAACTTCTGTTAATATTGTTCACTCAGGACCAGGCATGCCCCCAATTTCCTGATTGCTCACAGCGCCCCTCCCACCCACCTCTGGAGCCCTTGATACCATCTAGGTGTGCGTCTGCTGAAGTGAACTGTGCATGAATCCATGTCTTCCAGATGCCGGAGCCCCCACTTACATGTATGAGTTCCAGTATCGCCCAAGCTTCTCATCAGAGATGAAACCCAAGACGGTGACAGGGAACCATGGGGATGAGCTCTTCTCAGTCTTCGGGGCTCCATTTTTGAAAGGTGATGGCACTTTGGTGACTACAGACTTGGAGTTAGGGGATCTGGGTTCAAGTCTTGGTTTGGTGGCCTTGGGCAAGTTCCTCCTTCTCTCCAGGTCTTAGTTTCCTGAATTCACCATAACAGGGTTGAAGGACAAAGGGTCCTAACCTTTCTCTTGCTCTAATGTGCATGGTGGAGAATGTGTATCCTTGCACCCTCATCCATGGTCACTCTAAGAATCCAGACCTGGGCATCAGTAGGACAGGAGGTGGATCACCTGCAGGGCCCTGCTCAGGGCTAGAATGCCACCACTCACTTTGCACTCACAAGAGCATATCAGAAGGTACGTGAGAGTAAGGTTAGAATTGTTCTTAACCTTGAATCAGGACTAATATGTGTCTGTCTATCCAACCATCCATCTATCTATCTATCTAAAACTCATATCTTTTAATATTTTAATACACTTAAGAGTATAATATTTTAAACAAAGACTTTTCACAGATGTCTTCAATGTCTTAACCCTCAGCAGTTACTGACAACTTGTGTGTGACACAACCCAGGGCTGTACATGGCAGTGCCTCTGGGCATTTTCTGGTTGGGTGACTCTTTGGGGGCCTTGCAGCTTGGTTATTTTTCAGATTCTATGAAAATGTGTGTGGGTGTAGGAGACTGAAAAAAGACCCAAAGGAGAGTATCCTGGGAGGTGGGGTTACTGTAGCAGAAACCCTGGGGTGTGGCCCTGTGAGCCAGCCAGTTTATGGATTGACTACAGCCCTTCCCTGAGCCTGACCTAGGTCAGTAACTGTCAAGCTTAAAGTGCACTTGAATTACCCAAGATCTTCTTAAAATGCGGTTTTGACTCAGTAGGTCTGGAGTAAGGGCTCCATTTCTGAATTTCTAAGAAGTTCTCAAGGGCTGCTGCTGCCCCTGAACCACACTTTGAGTAGCAATGGCTTTGTCTCCTACCCACAGATGGTGCCTCAGAAGAGGAGACCAATCTCAGCAAGATGGTGATGAAATTTTGGGCCAACTTTGCTCCGAACGGGTGAGCTGGTGGCACAGACGGAGCAGGGTTGGGAAGGGGCAGGGCGTGTCTGCTGGGTGGGAGGAGCTTCAACGTGTGCTGGGCAAACTCCCCGCCCTGTGACCCCTGACGTGAGAGCTCCCTCAGTGGACAGGCTGCCCAGGAGATGGTCAGCCTCCTGTCTCTGGAGGCGTATGAGCCTTTGGCAGAGATGAAGCCAGGGGGTCCCTGACAATCTCTGAGGGTTGTTGGGGCCACACAGTAGCTTTGGGGAATTTCTATGTGATTCTGTTCCCAGGAATCCCAACGGGGAGGGGCTTCCCCCTTGGCCAGTATATGACCAGAAAGAAGGGTACCTTCAGATTGGCATCACCACCCAGGCAGCCGAGAAGCTGAAAGACAAGGAAGTGGCTTTCTGGAACGAGCTCCTGTCCAAGGAGGTGGCAAAGAAGCCACCCCAGTTAAAACATGCTGAGCTGTGAACGGGAGGCTCAGCTGGCCTTGGGGGCTTGTGGGACCCCAGACAGGGGTATTCTATAGAAGGTGTTTGTGGGCCAAAGAGGCATCTTATTGTGGAGGCTGGGGAATTATCTGATGGGAGTAGCAGAGGTCAGGGAGGGGGAATTTCTGTTTCTGTGGCCTCAATTTTGGAAATGAATGTTCTTTTGGAGACCAAGTCAGTGTCTTTGTCTTGGGCTGGAATTAAGTCATCCTCATTAGCGAGAGAAGGATGAGAGAGGGCACCACTGGCAGGAAGGTGACTCGGGCAGCTCTGGCTTGGCCTCTGGACAGGAAGAGTCCAGTAGGCTGGGCCCTGGGAGGGGCTGAGGGGGACACTGCATCTGCTCCATGTCTCTGGGCCGTCAACAACTCCAGTAAGTGGATGTGAGGGAACCAGAGTGCAGTGTCCCTTTCCTCCATGTGGAGCCGCCTGTAGACATGGAGGGGGCACAGACCAAGGATGTACCTGGAGTGGGAAGGAGGGGGACTTGCCATGGTGACACTGTGGCACTGTTGTGTGGCCCTTACTGACCCTCCCACAGGTCTACAATTCTTTCTTCAACTTACACAGTATCCTCCCAGGCCCCTCCCTGAGGCCGTCTCTTCCAGCAATTCCTCTGAACCCTTTCTGCAGCCTGGACCACATCAGGTCCAAGCAGTGACCACCTTGAAGTGGGTCCCTGAAGTGTCCTGTGAAGACTGACTCAGAATCCCTGGGGTGACTTCTGGCTCCTGGGATATAGAAAGCTCTAAGGAATGCCACTCCCACCTTAACAGAAAGAAAAAAGTGGATTATCCTCAAAATCATGACTTTCTCTGACTCATTCAAAGAGGTTGCAAGGCAAACAATTACCCTGAAATCTAAGGGAAGACGGGCATTTTGAAGGAGAGACGGGAAGTGAACACTGGCTTACCGTCTGGCGACAGATGGAAGATGGAGTCACCACATGTGTGAGTACAATTACTCTAAAAATTCGAATCAAGGGCTAAAGGCCAAATATAGGTGAGTATGAGAGTATAAAATCGTCAGGAGCCACGGACCCACAGGAGAGTACAGGGCCTCATTACAGGCCCTTCTCCATGGACCTCTGTCAGGGACCTGTGGGAACAGGTAGTAAGACCAGAGGGTGCAGGCTTGAAGCCCTGCCCAGACACTTCTCCCCCTAAGAAACAAAATCCCTTAACCACTGGGAAAAGGCAGCAAACCCATTCCCCTTTGAGCACTGGGGAAGACCTATTGAAGCTGAGGGAAAGGGAAATTTAAAAACCCTCTACTACTGGGAAAGGGACAGGAAACTATCCTGGGTCCCAATCATTAAAGGTCTTTTACTGCAGGGGAGGGGAGAATCACTGAGAAAACCCCGTGTCCATGACCAAGGGACAGGGGGCCTGCCTAAGATTGCGGCTGGACCAGGACACAAGAACCCGCCCCTGGATTCCACCACCAAGTTATCAAGCAGTAAGTACTGAGCAGCAGAAATCCACCACTGGGGGAGGAAGAACACGTGGAGATAGACTCCCTGAGGGGCAGGTGCACAGGGCAGGCCCCAAACTGAGGGCAAAACAGGAACACTGAGAGAAACCTTTCAGCAAGCCCTCCCCCTCAGCACAAGGTAGTACAAAAAGAATTTGAAGCAGGTGGTGCACTTAAGAGAACCATAGCAACACCAAAACCCAAGCTCTGCTCAACTCCTGACTAAACTGCCTCAAGTCCCCCAACACACAGTCACATGCACACACAAACACACACACACACACACACACACACACACAAATCCCCGGTCTAGTAGAAGAGGCATGTCCATCCCCAGTCATAAACACTATTTACTTCAGTTTCTTCCCCCCTACACAGGGTGTCAAGCATTTCATCTAAAATTATAAACACACACAAAAAAAAAAGAGAGAGGAAAAACACACTAAAAGGGCAAAGCAGTCAGTAGTACCAGATTCAGAGATAACCCAGGTGTTAGAACTACAAAAATAGGAATCTAAATAACTCTATGAAAAACTTACAAGAACAGATGGGTAATTTCTGGAGAGAGACAGAAGCTCTAAGAAAGAAGCAAATGGAAATATTAGAAATTAAAAAGAATAGTAAGATATGAAGAACACCTCCAATGGCAACAGATTTGTGGTTGCCAAGGGGGAGGGGCAGTGGGGGAGGGATGGATTGGGAGTTTGGGATTAACAGATGCAAACTATTATATATAGGATGGATAAACAACAAGGTCCTACTGTATAGCACAGGGAACTATATTCAATATACTGTGACAAACCATAATGGAAAGGAATGTGAAAGAGAATATATATATGTATAACTGAGTCATTTTGCTATACAGCAGAAATTAACACAACATTGTAAATCAACTATACTTTAATAAAATTTTTTAAAATAAATAAAAATAAAAATAGCACTGTCCAAAAAGAAAAAAAGAATAACTCCAATGGGTTCCTCAGTAGATTTGAGGCAGTTGAGGAGAGAATGAGTGAATTTTAAGAGAGGGCCATATAAATTACCCAAGTTAAATAAGAAGAAAAAGTAGTGGAGAAAAAAGAACAACAGTGCAGAGGATCCAAGAGATGTGTGACAATATCTCATGTCCAATATATGTGTACCTGGAATCCCAGAAGGAGAAGAGAGGGAAAAAATGGATAGAAAAGATATTTGAAAAAAAGATAGCTGAGAATTTTCCAAAATAATGCAAGACAAAGATCCAAGAAGATCAGACAGTCAGGCAGCGATGGGATCTATTTTCCGGTGTCCTCACACAATTCAGTGCTGCAGCATCACTGAGTGATTCCTCCCTGGACAGGGGGCCAGGCTACAGAAAAGTAGAGACCCAGGGAGCCCAGTCTTACTTCATCAGAAGCAGGACTTTGTTATGTAATCCAGGGTGTCTCAAACTCAGCACTGACATTTCGGGTCAGAAAATTCTTCGTTGTGGGAGCCGTCCTGTGCATTGCAGGGTGTTTAGCAGCATCCCTGGCCTCCACCTACCCCATGCCAGTAGCACTCCCCTAGTGTGACAACCAAAAATATTTTCAGATATTGCCAAACATCCCCTGGGGCACAAAATAATCCCCATTTGAGAACTGGTTCATTTATCTAGTAAGTCCCTGGGGGAAGAGGTTGGGGGGCAGGGGATCGTAGGTACGTTGAAAGCTGGATACGTGGGAGGGAGGGAGACAAAGAGGGAAGAGATATGGGAACATATGTATATGTATAACTGATTCACTCTGTTATAAAGCAGAAACTAACACACCATTGTAAAGCAATTATACCACAATAAAGATGTTAAAAAAAATTTAAAAAATAAAAATAAAAAAAAGCTATAAAAAAAAAATCAACAACATAATTTAGCTATGGTTACCCAGAATTCTAAGTACTCGCCCTCCCAATGCCATAGATCTCAGCTCTTTGGTTCTTATCTGCAAGTCTGAGGACTACAGTTTAAAAAGGGATTGACTTTTAATGGATGTCTGCTGCCACCTGGTGGTAATTTAGTTCATTGCACTCTGCGGGAAATCCCAATTTAGTCTTACTGGTCAACCAACCAGCGCATCAAAAAGTTAAGACAATCAGATTTGCTTTGCTCAGATCTTAGAAAGTAGTTCTAAGTTCACAGATGACAGGCCCTTGGGAACACAATTCGGGGTTAGCATAAACTGCTATTAGCAGTGACCCCCCCCCCTCTTTTCTAAAGCCTTAGTTTGAATTTTTAGGACATTGTCTTTGTCCCCAATTTCCCTACTACCAAAAGTCCTATTTGGAATGCATTTATAAGTTATAGTCAGGCACAGTTAAATTCATTTTGTGAAGATGTTTTTGAGAATTTCATAGTACAATTGGAGATAATTAGACATATTTAGGATGCCATAAAATGGGAACATCTTGTATTAAAGCAGTATTTTCCATATTTGTCTGACAGAAGAAACAAAGCGAATCACTAAGCCCAAGGCAGGGCCCTCCAGCGACTGTTAGCAGCAAGGAGGGCTGTGGACCTCAGTGTCAGGAAGTGTCGGAGCTGTTGCTATGGTGACTTTGAATGCTGGCTGACCTTGAGGATGGTGAATAATCCCAAAACTTGGTTTCCAGGTTTGTGCCACCTCCCTGTCCCTCTGGGCCCAGATAAAATGGTTATTCAGAGCTCAGTCTTGGACAGAAGCCAAGTTCCACAACTGTTATTAATATGAATAATACTTAATAGCAATAACAACAATGTTTCAAGAGGCTTCAAGAGAATTCAAGTGAGTGCAGCTAGGACCTTGGTCTGTTCCTAACACAGCGGCCGGACTAATCCTGGTGGAACATGTCATCTTCTGTTCCAAACCCTCCAATGGCTCACCACTTCTCTTGGAGTAGAAACCAAAGTACTCATGTTGGCTTACAAGGCCCTACATGACTCCGTCCCACCAGTTCCATTTACCTAGTCCTGTACCTCAGGACTGTCAAAAATGTTCTGCCTCAGGGCCTTTGCACTTCTGGTCCCCTGTGCCTGGGATGCTTTGTCAGTGGCTCCCTCCATCATCTCTTTCAAGTCTCATTCTCTCCCCCTCAGAAACTTACCCCATCCCCCTTCCCAGCTTTATTTTTTTCCTGAGCACCTGTCATTTTCTAACTTCCCCTAACAGAATGCACATTCCATGGGGCCAGAGACTTTACTAACGGAAAAATCCTTGCTTTCTGCAGATGTTAATTGGCAGGGTGTGTACATTAGAAAGTCAGACAAGCAAACTTGTGAATTAAAGTTCCATCTCTTTGGAAACAGGGACATTATTTGAAGGAAACCATTCATAAGCCATTATATATTTATCATGAAAGATGTCTTATAATTATAGTTTAAAATGCATAATTTTTTTTACTTAGCCCATGAAGTAATATAATAATCCCCATCTTGGCTTTATAGGTTCAGATGAGATCTGACCTACATTCCCTCATTTCTTCTGCTTGTTACCTTAAGTGTTTATTCGATCAAGGAAG